AAAAAGCAGAGAAACTAGTATGTCATAGAACTAATTTCCAGCCTGTGGCCTCTCCTACATTTTCAAGATTGACCCTAGAATCCAAAAGCTTTCTCAAAAATAAAGATGATGAATGGCTATAGATTAGTACCTCGTTTGGGAATATGCTCACCTGCCAAGAAGAAAGATAAACGATGATAATAGGAAGCATTTGTATAGCTTTCAATATTTTGAACTCAGATATATCTCCCATGTCTTTATGAGGAAGCACTCCCTTTTACAGCAGGCATTTTGATTTGCTGTCAACATATTCTCAGGTTTCTAGCTGAGCATGGCTGGCTGGGGAATTCTGGGAGTTGAAGTCCACAGGTCTTAAAGTTGCCAAGGCTGGACATGCTTATTTTAATCTTAAACGATACTGTGTTGGTTGCAATCTAAGAAGATATCAGAATGGGATCCAGCTTTCTACACTAGTAGATACCTTGCTAGGGTGAAAAATGAAGGAAGGAATTGCTTGTTTGAATTGTACCTTCTGCCTTGTGGAGGAACAGTAATGGCATTGTAAAGATTGTCCCAAAAGAAACAAGGACAATTTTTTTACTAGTGTAAAAAAAAAGAAAAAAAAAAAAAGGAAAACTTGTTTACAGCTTTTCCATTTACCCCTCTAGAGTTCATGTGTATTGAAACTGCTGAAGGGTAGCAGTTACCTCTTCTATAAAGCCATGCCTGGGTAGGGAAGTGCATTCTGGGTGTCTGAATTTCAGCAGACAGCAAGAAGGAGCCACTTCTGTTTATTCATCAGTTGTTACCTCCAGGACATCATTCTTTCACACAGCTACCCTTTTACTTTTGACTAGTGTAATGCATGGACATTGAAGGCAAAGTGGAGAACCTGCAACTTGATGAAACTAACCTTGTCATAAATCACCAGAAAACTCTAACCCTTCCTAGAAACCTGCAGCTATGCTCTTGTTTGCTTCTTAGCACAGGATTGCAGCATAATTACAGGCTTCCAAGGCCTTGTCAATCTGGTTTCAGGAAAAAAAAAAAACCCTCAGCTTTCCTGGAATGCAACTATGATGACACTGCTTGCAATGCAGCTGATTCAAGAGCAACTGTGGGGTTTGGAAAATGGTCTGGTGCAGGGGTGGGTTCTACTTACCTTTACTACCGGTTTGCAGCAGAGCCGCGCATGTGCATGCGCTCTTCTGCGTAGGCGCAGAAGCACTTTGGTGACATCAGGGTCGGTGGGCGGGACCTCCCGCCACTTTTACTACCGGTTCTATAGAAACGGTGTGAACCGGGGGCAACCCACCACTGATCTGGTGGTTTTCTTCTTAATCGGAGAACACCAATGCTCCCCAAGAAAGCATGAAAGATATCCGGCCTTGCTGCTGCTGAAAAATGCCACCCTCTTTCTGAAGACTTCCAAACATTTGGAACATGCTCGCGCTATCTCTCACTAGCTAAATATTTAAGCAGCTGCGTACTGCCATTGTATTTCAACATGTTATTTTTAACATGCGACCCCATTTCCCTACTTCAAACTGCATCTGTCACTGAGTATCCAGTGAGAGGAACAACCGATAAAATTCTTGACCATTAAAGTGGAGGACAAATTACTTTTTCCCACCGGGTGACCTACATTTCCAGGTGCACTTCCAATATCCAGCCTTTGTGCTACTTTCCATGCAGAATGTGCTTTTCAGGTGGAGTACCTGAAACGAACAACAGCAAAGAGAGACAGAAAATGTCCTTTTAAGGAGCAGAATTTTGGAAGGCAGGCAAAGGAGATGAAAGGAAGTAGTTTAAGTGGGTTGCAAAAAAAAAAAAGGGGGGGGGAAACTAAATAAAACATTTCAAAAGTAACTTCAGGATAAGCAGTAGCTTCCAGTAATAACAAACTCCTGTGCATGCAACCCACTTAAAATATATATTATAGATGCCAAGTCTTTGAAGAACATGCCTTGCCCCCTCCCCACAAATAAGCTGCCTGCTTTCTTGTCTCCACCTCCCCCCCCCAAAAAGTAGAAACCACATCCTCTCTCCTTTTTTCTCTTCAGTAGCTTCTCTTCTTTTAAGCAGCCATGTGGTTCCTGTGGCTTTTTCCAAGATTCAGCATGGCAATTGGCCATTTCTTAATTAAGAGGAAGCATTTCCTGATGACCTTATGATTGGTTAATATTGAGTCCTTTATGATTTTATTTTTAGCAATTGCTCCATTTCAGCACGTACCTTCTGTTTTGGCATAAATTAGTTGAACAAGAAAGGGATAAAGAGAAATACATTTATTCCAGGGGTAGGTTCTACTTACCTTTACTACTGGTTTGCAACGGGGCCGTGTGCGTGCTCTTCTGCGCATGCACAAAAGCTTCTGCACATGCACAGAAGCGCTCTGATGACGTTGGGGTCGGTGGATGGAGCCTCCCGCCGGTTTTACTACCGGTTCTATAGAACCGGTGTGAACCGGGGGCAACCCACCACTGATTTATTACTATCAGTATTGAAGTCCATTTTCTATTAAAAATAATTGCAGACAAAACAAAAGCATTCAAAGTTATTGGAGATAACTGCTGAGGATTTAAACCATACAGATGATTTAAAATTTAAATCATAAGTACAGGAGGGTAACGGTAAGAATGATAGAAATTCCCTAAAAGATTCAGAAGCATGAATTCAGCCTAAAATGGTGTCTTTCAAACTTGACAACTTCAAGAAGCACGCTGGCTGGGGAATTCTGAGAGGTGAAGTCCACACATTTTAAAATTACCATTTTTGAAAAAAACGCTAACCTAAAGCATCAGAAGAGAGGTAGAAAAGTACAAAAATGACCCAAAAAAGTACAAAAGAAATACAAAATGTAAATCTGGTCTATCAGCCTAAAGCTTTATATCTATGTATTGTTTTTTTTAAGCATTTGCTCCTCATGTCAAATCACAAAGTGGTTTATCAAAGGCCACAATTAAACAGTAAATTAAAACAATTTATAAAAATATGTGTTAAAACTTAGGGGGAAAAGGTTAAAACAATGCAAACAACAAAGCAGGCAAAACAATAATAGAGTAAAAAGGAATGAACATCATAAAAGTGTCTCAGCAAGGTAAGACATCCTTGAATAGTGACTGCTTTGTTTAGTGACCATTCACAGTTAAGATGGTGATAAAAAAAGTAATTTTATGACCTTCACAGATCTGTAAAGCAAAGGAAAGCTGAAGTAAGATCATAAGTACAGTCACAGTTTCACTTTGTGACAGCTTCACTTAACACCTAAATTGCCAGTTCCAATTGCGGTTGCTGAACAAAGACTGCTGTAATTAAGAAGTCTAGAAGACTAAAGATGTGGAAAAGGATACTAAAGAGGGAGATTTGGCATTCACCTGCTCCTGGATTGCCACTCATCTCATTTTGGCATGGGAAGGCATTCAGGGCAGGTCCTCCAAGTATGAACTTAAGATAGGTAGGAAGGCATGGGAAGAAACTTGCATATTAAGATATTAAGATTAAGATATCAAGATTCTAAGCCAAAAAGGGTTCTATGGGTTAAAACCAACCCCTTGAATTGGAAATAGAAGTGATCTGGAGCCAATGTAGGCATGATCAAATCTGGAAAGTCCTGTCTGTGACCTTCATTTCTTGTTTTTCCAGTCCAGAATTTAGTTTGTCCAAATGTACTGATTTGTTAGGAAAGTATCTGTTATATTTTTTGTAAAGTTGGTGCTAAAATTTAAATGAATGTTCATGCACTTTTCATAATGTCTGCATTTTGTTTGGAGTTTTGCCTAACGTCCATATCTTTTCAAACTATTTCCCTAGATGTAGTGCATTTTGGTACTATTTTAATGAATACCAAATTAATACTTTGCGTTTCAGGAACCTAATAAGCACATCTTTCTACATTTTATGTACATTTCTAATACAAAAAAAATAATGCGGGAACGAAAAGAAGTGGCATTTTGCCTGAGAGTATGAAATCGTTGAATTGGATAGGATTACATGAAAGTGCAAATGAATCTAATTTCTTCTTTATTTACTAAAGTGGTGGAATAATATCGTCATGTGTGTGCATGCACATGTACTGTATATAGATAAAAATTTAGATACGGATGCTTTTAATTTAGTTTTAGACTTCAGAATGAGATTCCTGGGATGGCTTAGAAATGACATTGCAAAATGCCTTCTCCATTCATTAATTTGACAGACTTGAACACTGGGCCCTAACTAACAAAGTGAAATTCAATATAGAGAAAAGTAAAATCCTACACTTAGACAAGAAAAACCAAAAGTATATGTATAGACTGGGTGAAACCAGGCTTAATAGCTGTAACTGTGAAAGGGATCTTGGAGTCTTAGTGGACAACCAGCTAAATATGAGCCAGCACTGTGCAGCGGCAGCCAAAAAATCCAATGCAATCTTAAATTGCATTAACAGAGGGATATAATCAAGATCAAGTGAGGTACTATTGCCACTCTATAAAGCCTTGGTAAGACCACACCTGGAGTACTACATCCTGTTTTGATCACCTATAGTATTATAGCAAAGATGTTGAGACCCTAGAAAAAGTGCAGAGAACAGCAATCAGGATGATTAAGGGACTGGAGACTAAAACATATGAAGAATGGTTGCTGGAACTGGGCATGGCTAGTCTAGGGAAGAGAAGGACCAGGGAAGACATGATAGCAGTGTTCCAATATTTGAGGGGCTGCCACAGAGTGGAAGGGGTCAAGCTATTTTCCAAGGCACCCGAAGGCCAGACAAGGAATAATGGATGGAAACTGATCAAGGAGAGATTCAACCTGGAAATAAGGATAAATTTTCTGACAGAGAAAATTCTGAGAACCATCAACAGCTTGCCTCCAAAAGTTGTGGGAGCTTCATCACTTGAGACTTTCAAGAAGAGATTAGACTGCCATTTGTCAGAAATGGTGTAGCGTCTCCTCCTTGGGTGGGGGGTTGGATTAAATGACCTACAGGCTCCTTTCCGATTTTGTTAATCTGTTAATTTATTCTCAGGAGCAGTGGAGGCCTTCTTCCTCTTCTTTTTGAATGCCATTTAGCAGCAACAGCTAAAATTTTCAGCACACGTATTAATGCATCTTCCAGATATATATGGAAGACTGACAGAATCTCCATCACCTTCCTTAGATGCTCTGGCAGTTGAACTCCACGGGTCTTAAAGTTACTGAGAATGGGAAATATTGGTGTAGAAGAAAAGAAATTAGTCCAAGAAATGTTGACTCTCAGGATCTACTACCAAGGTATGCCAGAATGAGTACCGATTTTCAAGACAAACTCTAGCTTGCAGATATCCAGCAGAAATAAGTGATACATGAACAAACGCTATGTAAACTAAAAATTGGAATTTTAGATTTTTAACACATTGCTATGCAGTTTTGTTTAAGCACTGGTATTTTATTTTAAGGACTGATTATGCACAGACTTTATGTGGTTCCCAAGGCATTTTGTGATTTTCATCAATTTTTTTTCCAGAGAAAGAAATCATTTTAGTCCTTATGCTTGCTGATATATTAAAAAATGTGATGGAAGAAACTATATGCAAAGTACAAAGAAGTGCCACAATTTAAAATCAACTTTATTTAAAAGGATTCTGTAGGATAGATTCTTTTTAAATCTTAACTCTGGTAAATTAGCATATTTCAGATTGTAAACTATATCATTTTCTTATTGCTAATGTATCATTCTGTAGAAAGTAGACTATTTAAAAATATTTAATTACATCAGGCATATCAAATTTATACTCCATGGGCTGCCTGCAATGATAATTATTATTCAAAAATAACAAATCATAACATAAACATTTGCACTATATAGTTTAAAGTCCCCTCTCCACTTTCTGATTTAATGGTGGGTTTCATTTGGTGGGCGTTACTAGCTGTTTATAGCCAGTTGTTTTGATCTGAAACTTTATGTGCCATCCAATTATTATCATAAGCTTATGGGGCAAATTCAATAGGCATAGTCTGTAATGAATGCATTGTGGGATAGCAGTGTGGTTGCACAATGGAAAACAAGAAGGGCAGAGAAAAAGGGCTGCTCATCTTGAAAACACCCAAGTAGCTAAACCAGCTGGCTGTAGAACTACTTAAAGTACTTAACTATTTTACTCAAAAAGTGGAACTTGATAGATTTGAGTTCCTGGTTCTCTGGGATGTGAAACCATGGCAGGAGGAAAGTTTTTATTTTCCTCCCTCATTTTTTATTTGATTTTGATATTTTGCGCAGATTTTTCCAGGCAAGCAAATTGAGAGGGAAAAGCAACCTGTCACAGCAGTCCCAGAGAAGAGGACGGTTTTGTGAGTTCCCACAGCAGGGGTGGGATTCAAAAATTTTAGCAACCGGTTCTCTGCCCAGTTGCTGGGTGGGCGTGGCCATGGTGGGTGTGGCCTATTTGGCCTCCTGCACCATGGAGGAGGGGGCGTTTTCGCCCTCCCCAAGCTCCAGAGGCTTTCCTCAAGCCTCCGGGAGGGTGAAAATGGCCTCCCCCAGGCTCTGGAGGCCCTCTGGAGGCTGGAAATGGGCCCGTTTCTGGACTTCCAGAACTTCTGGGAGGCCTGTTTTTTGCCCCCCCAGAGCCTCCACACTGGCCCTGTACTTACCTGACATCCAAAATGGGCCACATGGAGACTCCTGGGAGGGGAGAGGGCAGGTGGGCGGGGCCAGCCAGTCCTTGCAACTACCAGTTCGCTGAACCAGATGTATAATTAGCATCCGGTTTGCCCGAACTGGTCTGAACCAGCTAAATCCCACCCCTGTCCCACAGCAGACAGTAACGCAAAGTAACCACCATGGCTCTTTGTAGATGGATAGTCAGCTATATCTTGGAGATCTGTCTAGGATTGATTTCAGTGTCTGGTTTGTTGGAGGTAAATGTTTGTGCAACATTTTGCTGATGAAAATCGCTCAACTTTGTTTAAATCTGGACTCTACATGGGCAGGTTCAGAGGAGATGAGTGGAAAAATGTCTTGCAATATTACCTGGGATTATTTTTGGCTTGTTGATTCTGAGGATGTGAATCAAGTAATCTCTAGGATGAGCACTACTGTCTGTAGTATAGATCAATAACCAGTCCAATGGCTGGCTGTAGGAAGCCAGTGGTGAGAGAGGTTGTCAGTTCCTCATTGGGAGAGGAAGTGATGTCAGGTTGCTTGAAAGACACAGTTTTGTATCCCCTCTTAAAGAAGGCCTCTCTGAATCCTCCCAGTTTAGATTACAGGTAGTCCTTGAGTTACAACCACAATGGAGCCCAAAATTTACATTGTTAAGTGAAACATTTGTTAAGTGAGTTTGCCCCATTTTACGCCTTTTCTTGCCACAATTGTTAAGTGACTTATTACACTTTTTAAGTTAGTAACATAGTTGTGAAATGAATATGGATTCCCCATTGACTTTGCTTGTCAGAAGGCTGCAGAAGGTGATCACATGACCTGGGGATCCTGCAACCATTATAAATATGAACCAGTTGTCAAACATCTGAATGTAAATCATGGGAACCATGGGGATGCTGCAATGATCATAACTGTGAAAAACAGTCATAAATCATTTTTCCAGTGTTGTTGTAACTTTGAAAAGTCACTAAATGGATTGTTTTAAGAGGAGGACTGCCTGTACTATTATCCAGTATCCACTCTTCCCTTTTTTAAGGAAGATGGTTGAGAAGTGATGGGACCTCACCTGCAAAGGGCTTTAGATGAACTGGATTATCTAATTCCTTCTAGTGAATGGACATGGAACAACACTGGTTACATTGGTTGAAGGCCTTTACAGGACCTAGATGAGGGTAATGGGACCTCCCGAATCCTCTTAGATCTCTCAGCTAAGTTCAGTACCATCTGAATCATCTGTGATATCCTTCCAAACTATTGTAAGGGCTGAAAATTGGAGGCATTGTGCCTGGGTCATTCAATTCCTTCCTAAGTGGATAGTTCCACTTAGGGGAACTAGTGAAAGGTAGAGGAGAAGGGGTGTTTTACATTTTTGTATCATTCTACATGGCTCACTTCTCTCACTCCTGCTTTTTACTATCGATTTAAAAAAACCTGAAGAAACCTGGTTTGGGTTAGGTATCGACATATTTAGCTATACACAGCCACCCTGGGTTGGGCTGGAGATACTACGGAAGTCCTGACATTGGGCTTGGTTGCTGTGAAGAATTGGATTGGAAAGAAAAAGCTGAAAAATAGGAAGTATTATTTGGAGAGAGACTTTCTGGCTCTCGTTTGACTCAAGTTTTTATTCTGAATGAGTAAGACTTCCCAGAAAGGAACAAGTCTGTGATTTAGGTCATTCTATGCTCATGGCAACTGCTAGAAAGGCAGTGGAGGCTGTGACTTGGTAGCCCTTATCAGCTTTGGTTGTCAGCATTCCAGAAAGTCCCCAAGTAAAACTCCGAAGCAGGCATTTCTCAAAGTTCTATTTTATTAGAGTAGATATACTGGCACATCTGTAAATCAAAACCCCAAATCCAGCCCCTTCACCCATCAGTCTGTCACATGATCCAATTATCATCCATCCCAACTTGAGCCATCCCTGCAACCACTCCTCCTCTAGATACATAAACACCATGACCTTGACCGAAGGGAAGAATGCTATTATGTCTAACTATATTCACTCTCCTAAATCCCTCCTCCTACTTTCCCAGGCATATGGAGTTGGCAGTGTGGAAGCTTCTGGTGCTAATATGGCTTCCAAAGCTGACATTGGTTGGTGTGCCAGTTTGTAATCCTACCTGGAGCAGGACGACCTAGGAACAATGGCCAATGTCTTATCTTTTTTAGGTTGGACTACTGTAATGTGCTGTACATAGAGTTTTGAAGACGACCCACCAGTTGCAATGGGTTCAAAATCAAACAGTCCAGCTTCCATCTAGAAACTGCAAGATTTTGGTTTAAAATGCTTACATTACACCAAGACAAACACTCAGGCAAGTAGAGAACAGCTTTCAACTTTTAAACGGAACAATTAATGTCCCTAAATCATAGACTTCCATTTACCAAATAAAATGAAAACGAAATGTGTAATGACAAAGAGTGAGATTGACCAAACTGCTCCAATTCTGAAACCCTTCAGCTTTGAATATGTTTAGAAGTTAAGATGCAACAAAATACTCATCCTTGCCCTACCACAAAATTGTAATAGATCCAAATTCAAATCTTCAATTTCACCAAGCATTAGATGCAGAAGTAAGCTTTATAAATAAAAAACATCCTGCAATTTTACGCTTTTGAGTCATGTTGAACTTTTTCCTCCTGAAAGCAAACACCCTCTTTGAAATCCTTTTTTTTTTAAATCGTCAAACTTTGTGCAGATTTATTTGCCTAGCTGCCAATTCTGTTGAGTAATCTCCCCAACACTGAAGGGAAATTATTCTTGTGGTGATTCAGGAAACACCACTTCTGACTCTGATTCTGACTCTTTTGGTTTAGTACCACTGTATGTGTGTTTCTTTAAAGTCTAAGGGTTTTTTTGTGAGCTCACAGGTGGTTTCAAAAATGTAGCGCTTCACTTTTAACTGCCCCTTCCCCCGCAATCCATGATAAAAAGAAAGCTAGGATCTTTTTCAAGAAGCTGTTTTTAGAAAAAGAAAGAAAACTTCAAGAAAAGGAAACCTGGTTTGGTTGGAAAAACATAATTAAAGACTGCTTTCATATCTGGTCATTTGTCTTCCCTTTGGAAATTCCAAGTGGTGCTTGCTTTCTTTTGAAAATAATATTTCTCTTAGGTCATATTTACATGCTACATTTCACAGTGACCTAGAGTAGGGCCTCCCAGAATTCCCCAGCCAGCTGGCTGGGGAATTCTGGGAGATGAAGTCCGCCAGGCTTAAAGTCGCCAAGGTTGGAGATCCCTGACCTAGAGGTCAGGGTAAAGCAGTGTCATGAGATAACACCCCCTCTTCCAGGTTTCTGTTTCCTTTAGCCCACTGGAGATGTTAGAGATTGGTTGGAGTTTCTCCCGAAGGGCACAGAAAAGAGATTCTTCCATAATGGAAAGCTTGTAGATAATGGGAATATCTTACATACACACGCCCATAATTGTTATGTGGCCTGACTCAGGCAGCATAGGTTGAATCATGACAGTGCTTACAAACAAGTAGGTTTAATCTCTTCTTGGTTTCGGTGAGGGTGAATGGTATTTCTTTTCAGGAGTTGTCCTTCTCTCTCTGCCCTTTTAAAATGCACACAAATTCCTATGCATTCTGAACTATACATATTGTGTGCCTTTTTTCTTAAGAAAGATTTGTTTGCAGTTGTTCAACCTGAAAATTCTCAGTACAAACTTTTGAGAATGTCACCTACTGAGCCATGACGGTGTACAGACACACATATTAATCCAAGTGCAAATTATTTAGAGATTTTGGTTACAAAGGATAATAAAAATTTCCATAAACCATTCTTTTTCCCATTTCATTCCTTGACTAACCAGACTAAAAAAACTGGTCCCAAAGGAAAAAAAAATCCACTGGTATCTTTCTGTCCTTGACTGAATCAAGGCAAAGATTCTCTCACTAACTTATTTTCCCATTTGTAATCAACTCAAGGGAGAATCCCTTCTCTGTCTTTGAATTGATTTGATGCAAGGCTTAGTAACATATTCTTTCCAGTGCTAATAGCTAAAAACCTCACCATGATAAGCTAACAATTAAAGTATCTGCTGTAATCTCTTTGAAGTTAACTGCTTAATTGGAAATCCACTTTTTACCATTCTGCATGGCCAACTCCTGGAAAAGATGGGAATTTTTAGTGACAAGCCAATCAACATATAGCCCATCCAATTAACAAGTAATTGTCCTGTTTATATTGGGAATCCAATTTTCTACATCAATGTGTCTCAACCTTGGCAATTATAAAATGAGTGGACTTTTACTGTTACTGTTACAATTCCCAGAATTCCCCAGCCAGCCATACTTCCTGAAGTCCACTCATTTTAAAGTTGCCAAGTTGAGTGGTATTGATCTACATCACGGGTGTCAAATTCACGGCGTCATGTTGCTGTCACGTGACGTATCGCGACGTTTTTTCCCTTTGTGGAGCTGGGGTGGGCGTGGCCTGCACATGATGCATCTGACCTGGAGGCCATCAGTTTGACACCCCTGAATGATATATAAATCTTTTACTGTAACAATGTTCCACTTTCCTCTGTAATTTAGAATTCAATAATAGTTGACATAATAAAATTATTATTTTTACTTTTCAACGTTGTGCTCCTTCTTCTGGAGCTGTTTCAACTGGTGTTGATGCAGGGAAGCGGTTCAACCTGCAGCCCTGCTTTGCGGTGTTTTACAGAACTCAGTATATTCCCCCATTCTGTTTAACATCTATACTAAATGAAGCTTCTGGTTGGGGTCATCCAAGGGTTCAGGATGAGGCATTATTAGTATGCAGATAGCCTTCACTCTGGGTTGTCCAAGTGATGCTGTGGAGGTCCTGCTGTAGTGTCTGGAGACTGTGGGTTGTCTAAGTGGGTGTCAGCCTTGTGAAGTTGTCCAGAAAAGAAGCACAGCCCCAAATACTAGCTCTAACTTTATTGAAAGATTACATTAACAAAATCTTGCATTTAAACTTTCATTTCTACATTAAAACCAATATGAATATTTCACTTTCACACTTTTTGATAAGGATGTAAGGGTATATGATGTCTATTCAATTCCTCTCCCATTTATTACTACCCTGTTAATTGTTGTATTAACTTATTTTAATTGGAGAATTACAGCTAGTCCTTGACCTACAACAGTTCATTTAGTGACCATTCAAAGTTACGACGACACTGAAAAAAGTGACATGACCGTTTTTCACACTTATGACCCTTAAGTAGCATCCCCATGGTCATGCTTGGCAACTGACTCATATTTATGTCCCAGGCTCACCTTTTGGGATCTTCTGACAAGCAAAGTCAATGGGGAAGCTAGAGTGGCTTAACAACTGTGTTATTAACTTAACAACTGCAGTGATTCACTTAACAACTGTGGCAAGAAAAGTTGTAAAATAGGGCAAAACTCACTTAACGAAGGTTTGACTTAGCAACATAAATTTTGGGTTCAATTGCATTTTTATTGCTTTCAGTTTTTCTTTTAAAAACCGTATTAAATGAATTAACACAGGGGAAGTGTGTGTGTGTGATAAGAAAATCATTTAAAAAGGGACCAGAGTGATTATATCTGTCTTGTATGCTAATTATTTCACTCACATTCAGGTTTGCTTCTGTAGGCTAGAGGACCATAATTTATTTTTTTTTTAAATTGACAAAGTTGATTCTCAGCATTTGGGGGAAGCTGCCTAATTTTAGGTTAGAGCCATAATTTTGTGATCCAAAAATGTTTGCATAGATTCCTGGATATTTGGCTAAGAATGTTACCCAGGGCTTCTCAGATTTTCTGATATCATGATCCGCTAAAGTGATAAAATAATGTCTGTGACATCTCCTACATGCATAAAACTAATGCATAATTGATCATCAATAACACTGTTGTGGTTGGCTGATAGTTTTGACAGATGGCTAGGTATATATTTAGCCATCTGTCAAAACTTGCTGGGGCTTTGCTCTCCACTTTTTCACACAAAGGGTGTGTCTGTGTGCTATCAAAAATTTCTTTGAATTTTGTTTGCCTTTTTCTGCTGTCAAAAGTCAGCCTAAGATTTGTTCCCCACTTTGCCACAGATTTAAGGTTTAAAACAAGTCCAGGCAAAAGAGGAAGCAAAGTGAGACTGAGCTTGGACAGTTTCCCAACTTTGCATGTGTAGCCTTGTTCCAGTTTCTCTGATTCCCTCTTAAGGTATGAAGCCAGAACCTGAGGAGAGATTAACTGTTTTCGGTCACTGGAAGTAGTGCCAGATGTGGGGATGTCCCTGGGGGCTCCATGAAAGCCTTTGTGCACTTGAAGGAAGCATCTGCTTTCCTTTCTCTTTGGCCCTCTGACCTCACTCTATGCAGTGTGTTTGCCGTTGTCATCAGGCAGTAAAAAATTCATTTGATAAAATGGCCCACAGAAGAAATGTGCTTCTTAATTATGATAGGCCCTTTAATCCTTGCCTGGATTAAAGCCTGGTTTTGGGGTGAAGGGGTGGGGTAGAGAGAGCGAGCGAGCGTGAGAGAGATACTATATATATATATATATATATATATATATCTCCACGTATGACTCATGGTGCTGCAAGCACTCTGCTTCGCTACAGACAAGTGCATTTGTAGAAAGGAGATGTCTGGCTCAATGGCCCCTTTGCATTGGAGCAAAAGGAAGGCTGAGCTGATCTCAGGTTGCAGTCCACCCCATCTCCCTATGTAGCATTCTTCCAGCTTTTCAGATCTTGCTCTTCTGGGGATTTCTGTGTTAGCCAGTCAGTTCTACCTTGGAGCTCCTTGAAGTGCTTGGTTTTTGCCTACTCACAAGTTATGTCAAACCAAACAAGAGGGGTCTGTTGTGGTCCGCCGGCGGCCTGCAGACTTGGTAGCAGAGTCGGACAGTGAGGAGGTTGGGGAGGAACATGGGCCAGTCCTGGAGTCTAGGGAAGGCTCGGACAAGGGCTCTGTGTCAGAGACAAAGAGGGGGCCAGGGCCATCTGGGAGTTATGTGCTGCCTCCGTCGCCTCCAGAGATGGACATCAGCGAGGCAGAGAAACAGGGGGAGCCTGTTCCCAGTGCATGCATGTGCAGAGCTGCCAGAAGTCAAAAACAGTTAAGACAAAAGAGACGACTCGGGAGTAGGGCTTGGAGATGATTGGCCCCTCCTATAAGACATAAATGAGGAACAAAGGCACATGAGCCTTTGCAGGAAGCAACTTTGTTCATTCTGGTCAGTTTAAATTCTGAAGCTCCTTTTTGATTCTGTATTCCATGTGGCCTTGCAAAGCTAATTGCCAATTAGGTCTTTGGCAGCATGTCAAGGGAGATAAAGGTGTGTGCTTATCAGCCTTATCCCAAAGGACTGTGGCAGACTTCTGTCGGACTCTTTACAAACTATTTGTGACTCATTACAAGCTGTGAATGAACAGAATTCACAGCCACTGAAATAAAAAGAGGGTTTTGGGGACTAATCGTGTGCTTTTTACTGTCTCAGGAAGCCTAGGTCAGAACAGGGTCCTTGGCATCCAGACAACACTGATAATAGGAGTTTCTCCCCCTCCCACCGCTAGAAATGGAAGACACAAACCATGGGCAGTGTTGATGCTTTCTCATGAACTATAGGCACTGAAATGGGAAAGTTGATGCCAAGTCCCATCCC